TCTGAGGCTCTTATTTCCATTGGACTAACAAAAAGCCGGAAATAGAGGTGTGTGGCTCAAGGGGTAGAGTGCCAAGCCTTGAGTGGAAAAGCTAAGAAAGAGCATGAGGCCATGTGTTCAAGCCCCAGGATCGGCACTCCGGCACACACACACACACACATGCACACACATGTACACACACATGCACACACATGTGCACACACATGCACACACATGTGCATACACACACAATGGAAATGACAGTAGTATGTCTACTTAAACGCCTCTGATAGCTGGACAATTGCTTGCTTGTTGAGATGGGGGACTTGTTGACTTTTTGTCCTGTCTGGTCTAGAACTATGATCCTCTCGATCTGCACCTAGGATTCCAGGCGAGTGCTACCAAACCCACCCCTTATTTGAATCTTGAAGATGCGTTATGGGTTATCTTGGCTGGCTGGAAAGCAGTCTAGGCATACAGAATGGCAGACATAAAAGCCCCAAAGCCGAGAACCTGCTGCTCACTGAGGGGGAGCTACCCGTGTCCTGTGAGGCAGGGGTCAGAGAGATGAGATGCAGATCCTAGAGAAAACAGATCTGGAGGCCTGGTCGGGGATAGGGGGTGTCTCTTGAGGATGCAGATCCTGCTAAATGGCTTATTGAAACAGAAAGCAAGCCGGACGTCTGTGGCTAGCATCTGTCATCTAAGCTACTCAGAAGGCTGAGATCTGAGGATCACGGTTCAAATCCAGCCCTGGCAGGAAAGTCTGTGAGACTCTTTTATGTCCAATGAACCACCAGAAAACCGGAAGTGGTGCTGTGGCTCAAGTGGTAGAGCCCTAGCGAAAGAGCTCAGGGGACAGTTCTAGAGTCTAGGCCCTGAGTTCAAGTCTCACAACCGACCAAAGAAATACAAGAGCTAGAGGAAGGATGGTTTGACTTGTGGGGGAAGGCTAAGATGGAGTGCGTCTCCTCCCTCCTGGGGGGCAGGGCTGGCAGGCATCATGCCCGGCTCTGTCCTCAGCCCCTGGTTAACGAGTTATTGATTTTTGAAAAGCAAAGGTAATCCCCCAGCCGGGCCACTTCTTTAGCAAAGTGATTTATGAATTGACCGTGGGACCCCGGCTACCTCCCACCTGAGCTCCCAAACACAGCCAGCAACAGCTCAGCTCAGCAAGAGCAATCAAGCCACACGGATGCCCAGCCCTTGCAGACCCTGTCTGCCTTCAGGCTCTGTGGCTCACGCCTGTAATCCCGGCAACTCCGGCAGCTGAGGTCTGAGGATCCTGGGTTTGGAGCCAACCCAGGCAGGAAGGTCTGAGAGACCCATCTGCCATGAACCACACCCTAGGAGTGGGGCGGTGGCTCAAGTGGTAGAGCGCCAGCCTTGAGTGGAAAAAGCTAAGGGGCAGGGCTCAGGTCGTGAGTTCAAGCCCCAATATTGGCCAAAGAGTCAGTCCCAGTCATCCCAAGGCTCCCAGAGTCAAAGCTGGGGAGAGGATGGGGGACCCAGGAACCCCGATCCCAGGATTCTTTGCGCCAGGAAGAGGGTCAGCCAGCGAGAGGCATGGTGGGATCCTGACTGGGCAGCCAGAGCTGGAGAGAGAGATGCAGGAAGAAGGGAGGGCTTCGGCTTCCACGCCTCTGCCAGCCCCTGGGTGGCTTCTGCCCTGACCTGTGATGTCACACAGCGTTGCCCGGGTGACCCAGACCCGTGGGGAAGCATCCTCCATTCTCCCCTCCCAGCCTCTCCTCCACTAGACATGGTCCACCTCCTCGCTGGCACCCGTGCCACCAGAAACCGCTGAGAAAGAGCCAGACGCGGGTCCCTCCCGCCCACCGCCCCCTTCCCCCAGTCTAAGTCTCAGAAGCAGGGGGAGCCTGACCTCCTCCTATGTGCGATCGCTCACCCAGACCAGGTATGGGGGGCCCGGCCACAGACTGCTAAGCGAGGCCCTGCCGCCTGTGCCTAAGGATGGGGCAGAAAAAGACAAAGGTGAGCAGCCTGCGTTCTGTGTGTGATTTGTTCCTAAGTCTTCTCGGGGGTCTCAGTTTTCCCAGCTGTGAAATGGGAAGATGAACTGCTCACCGTGGCTCTGCGGGGTGAGATATTCTGTTCTCTTGGGAGTTGAAAGGCACTGTAGGCCGGGGCTCGTGGCTAGAATCTGAACCACTCAGGAGGCTGAGATCACGGTTCAAAGCCAGCCCAGGCAGATAAAGCCAAGGGGCGCTTGGCTTTGAACTCTCCAGTTAACCAGCAAAAGGTTGGAAGCGGAGGTGTGGCCAGAGGAGTAGAGCGCCAGCCTTGAGTGAAAAAGTCAAGCAAGAGTATGAGGCCATGAGTTCGAGTCCCAGGACTGGCTCAAATAAAAGGAGACAGTGTGCTTGCTCTAGGGTAGTGTGAAGTGTTTGCTTCTGTCCTCTGGCTGCTGGGGCACAAGCTCAGATTGTCCCCCCCAAAAAATATTCATCCCTCCCTTCAAAAAGCCTGATACCCCACAATCCCCAACCCTCCCCACCTCCCACCTTCCCTGCTCAGGCCGACAGCAGGAACACAAGTGTTTGAACCCCAGGAGAGGGTTGTATTTTCTTCTTTAGTGTTAGTTGTGGGACTTGAACTCAGGGCCTGGACGCTGTCCCTGAGCTCCTTCTGCTCAGGGCTAGCGCTCCACCACTTTGAGCCACAGTGCTACTTCCAGTTTTTTGGTGGTTCAGTGGAGATGAGTCTCATGGCCTTTCCTGCCCGGGCTGGCTTTGAACTGTGATCCTCAGATCTCAGCCTCCTGAGTAGCAAGGATTACATGCATGAACCATGGGTGCCCGGCCTTTTTATTTTAAATCTATTTTGTGCCTATGCCCTGGCCTTTGCCCGGATGCCAGCCTCCTCTTCAAGCTTTCTGGTAGACTGTCACACAACAGGCCCAGGCACAGGCTGGCCTAACCAGGAACCTAAAACAGCCAGCTGGCTCCCGCCTGCTCTCCCAAGCTGGGTGGTCCAAGCTGGGGAGGAGCCAAGATGGTTTATGTGAACATTTTCATAGCTGGGAAATATCCTCTGTAAGGGACGGACAGCCTTAGTTGTGTGTGTGTGTGTGTGTGTGTGTGTGTGTGTGTGTGTGTTTAATGCCAGTACTCAGACTTGAACGTAGGGCCTCATGCTCCTGGCTTAGCTTCTTTCCTCTTTTTTTTTTGGTCAGTCGTGGGGCTTGAACTCTGGGCCTGGGCGCTGTCCCTCAGCTCTTCAGCTCAAGGCGAGCGCTCTACCACTTGAGCTACAGCTCCACTTCCAGTTTTCTGGTGGTTTATTGGAGATAGGAGTCTCACAGTCTCTCCTGCCTGGGCTGGCTTTGAACCTCGATCCTCAGATCTCAGCCTCCTGAGTAGCTAGGATGACAGGTGTGAGCCACCAGCGCCCTGCTAGTTTCTTTCCTCTTAAGACTGGCACTGTACCACTGGAGCCACATCTCCACTCTGGCCATGCTGTTTGTATAGCATTATGTATCCATATCTCTTCTTTCCTGGATCCCTTTTTAAATTAATTATAGATTTCAGTGTTCTTTGGATATTAAGGATATTAATATTTTTTTAAAAAACTGACAGTAAATGACTACTGTTTAAAATTCTGATGGATTCAGGGCAGTTACAGATTTTTATTTGTATTTTTCTGCTACTGGGGCTTGAACTCAGGGCTTAGACATTGTCCCTTAGCTTTTTTTCTTTCTCGTAAAGCTAGCATTCTTACTATTTGAGCCACAGCTTTACGTCCAGCTTTCTTGCTGGTTAATTGAAGATAAGAATCTTAGGGACTTTCCTGTCCTGCCTGGCTTCGAACAGCGATCCTCAGCTCTCAGCCTCCTGAGTAGCTAGGATGACACTTGGGCCCAACACCTATATTCTGAATTCCCTGAGAAGCTCTGCGGGGCTGCTGGGGGTGGAGCACAGGCAGGACACCAGTCCTGAGGCAGATTCTACCTGTCAATAGATTTCCATCCGGGTAGGAAGGAAAGAAGAGAAGGCAGAGGTTGGCAGTCCTGGCCCGCCAGTGCCCTATGCAACCTTTGCCCTTGGTCCCAGGTCCTGGCCCTGGGCCCAGCCTGCACAAGGGGCCCAGGCCTACAGTCCTGTGTGTGTGTGTGTGTGTGTGTGTGTGTGTTTCCTGGGGTTTGAACTCAGGGCCTAGTCCCTGTCTCTGAGCTTTTGTGCTTCAGGCTGGCAGCTCTCTGCCACTCTGCGCCACGGTTCCACTTCCAGGATTTTGCTGGTTAATAGGAGATTAGAGTCTTACTGTCTTTCCTGCCAGGGGTCTGGCTTCAAACGTGCAATCCGCAGATCTCAGCCTCTTGCGTTGTGACAGGTGTGAGCCATCAGCACCCCACCATAACCTAGGCCTCTTGACTTCCAGGCTGCTGGTTTTGCTCTTAAGCCTCTAAACCAAAACAGCAAACCTGCTGGGGACGGGGCTTGTGGGAAGGCGTGGCCAGCCGCTGGCCACGCCCCTCCATCTGGCCGAGGTTCCCCTCCCTTCTTCGCACCTCGGCCTGGAGATATTCATCAACACCTCTGCAGATGGTGACGAGGCCCCCCGCTGAGGCCTGGGGGAGGGGAGGGGGAGTCTCAGTGGAAGAAGGGGGAGAAGGAGAGGGTCCCTCCGGAGCTGGAATTGTCACCTGCTAATAACACATCTTGTTTGGCTTTGAGCAAGTGAGCTAGCCCGAGGGACAAGACTATCCTGGAGATGCAATCCAGGTTCAAGGGGCGAGGACGGGGTGCAGGGGTGGGGGGGTGTAGGGGGGTGGCAGGGAGCAGCTAGAAGGCCATCATGGAGTTTCCTAAGCCATTGGGAGACCTGGAGAGAAATCTGGAGGTGAAGCAGAAGAAACGTGAAGAAAGGGTCAGGTTCTAGAAATATGTGCAGCCAAACTGACCAGATGTGGAGCGAGAGTAACCCCCCCCCCACACACACACAAGGCGTGGGGCTCCAGGAAAAATAGAGGCAATGGAATGTCACTGGACCCCGTTTAGAGAGGAAGACTCAAGGATCGGCCTCAGGCAGTTGACAGAACAGCTGCTGTCACCCAAAGAGAACAGTGTGACTACGATTCTGTTTTCCACAAGTACCCAGGGAGACGCAGAACTGAAAACTCCCAGCTTTTAAATATATACATATATATAAAGTTTCATTATCGTTAAGGTATTGTACGGAGGGGCTACCATTTCATAAATCAGGAAATGAGTACACATGGGGTTTGAACTCAGAGCCTGGGTGCTGTCCCTCAGCTCTTTCTGCTCAAGGCTAGCCCTCTACCAGTTTGAGCCACAGCGCCACTTCCCATTTTCTGGCGATTCATTGGAGATAAGAGTCTCACCAACTTCCCTTCCCCCGGCTGGCTTTCACCCTCGATCCTCAGATCTCAGCCTCCTAGTAGCTGGGATGACAGGTGTGAGCCGTTCACTGGTGACAGGAGACAGAAGGGAAGTTGTAGGGGAGCCCAAAGTTGGCAGCCATGTGCAGGGAAGCTGTAGAGGGGCCTAGGGGTTAGAGGGTGGCAAGTGGGGGTGGGGAGGAGGAAAAGGAGGAGGAAGAGGAGTCACTCGGCCTTGGCTCTTCCCACAGGGCACCGAGGGCCCTAAGGAACCTTGGAACCCCTTCCATCTGGCCCCTTCTAATAAGGAGACTGTGGCGGTCACTCTTCATGGAGCTGCTGGCCTTCCTCTCTGCAGAGACGGCTCGGAGCCGTGGCCTTTTGTGATTGTGTAAGTAGCCAGGGGTGAGCAGGCTGGGGGTGGGGGCGGGGAAGGGGAGGGCTGGTGTGGGGTCTGCGCTTTGAGCAGAAACCCAGATCGGGGTAGGTATCTAGGAAATGAGCCCTTAAAGGTTCAAGACTAGAACTGTGATACCCGGAGAAGTCCTGCCAAGGGCTGTGGGCTCTGTGGTGTGGGAACAGTCCGGGGGTGGGGTTGGGGGGGGGAGGCAATGAACTCTTGAACCCACAGGTAAGACCCTGGTCTGTAGAGTCTGGACTCCGGTGAGAGTGAGGCTTAGAAAGTGACTTAGGACCAGCGGTGCACACCTGTCATCCCAGCTTCTCCAGAGGCTGAGATCTGAGGATCTAGGTTCAAAGCCAGCCTAGGAGCAGGGATGTCTGTGAGACTCTGATCTCCAATGACCCACCAAAAAAAGCCAGAAAGGGGAGCTGTGGCTCAAGTAGTAGAGCACCAAAAAGTCACCACCCTGGCCTTGAGTTCAAGCCCCCAGGACTGGCACATGTGCACACATGCACACACGCACACACACACACTGGAGTGGAGTGAACGGCTTGCCTGGCTCGCCAGGAAGCTCTCTTGGAGCCGCCAGGCCCAGGCCCGGGTCGGGGGCACAGGTGGCCGCCTTCTCCCAGCCATTTCCATAAACCCATTATCGCCGATCATCTCGGGAGATGGAGGCCCCGCCTGTCACCAATCCAGCCTGGGAGGTGGCAGGGCGAGAGTGGGAGAGCTCCCCCCCCCGTTGCCAGGGAAACGCTCGGTGTGGGCCTTAGAGACCGAGCTGGGGCAGCACCCGGTCCCCCTGCGTCCTGCCGGCGACCGGCTGGCGGGGACAGGGAAGGGAGGGCGCATGCGCGGGCGTCTTCACTCCTGTCCAGGCTGGGGGGGGGGGGGAGGTGTGAGGGGCGCTGGATCCCAGAGCGCATGCGTCTTCGCTCCTTGCCAGTCTGAGAGCAGAGCAGGGCCCGGATCCCAGAGCTGCCACCAGCTCCGGGTAGTGTTAATGAACGGAGGAGGCAGCACTTCTGAGAAGCAAGGCCCAGCAAGTGGGGCCTAAAAGTGCTTGTCAGGGATGGTCAGGAGCCCCACACAGGACCCCCCCCCTCCCCAGAGGGAACCCTCAGAACCATGGGGAAACAATGTCTGATGTCTTGCAACTTCTAAGTAGAAAACACAGGGACAAAACACACACGTGGCTTAAAGTGTGTCTTCAAGCTGGGTGGCATGGCTCACACCTGTCATCTGAGGCTGAGATCTGAGGTTCAGGGTTTGAAGCCAGCTCTGACAGGAAAGTCTGTGAGACTCTTAGCTCCAGTGAACCAGCTAAAAGCCAGAAGGAGAGGTGTTGGCTGGAAGAGTATCAGCTTTGAGCAAAAACATGCAGAAAAGGAGTAGGGGGAGAAGGAAGGTAAGAAAAAGAAAGAAGTGAATTTATGGATCATGCATGAATGATGGAGTTAGTAAATGAATGAATGAATTTGTGGATGAATGTATAATGAGTTTGTGAATGAAGAATGAATGAATGGTTTGTGGATGGATGCATGCATGAGTGAATGATGGAGTTTATAAATGAATGAATGAATTTGTGGATGCATACATGCATGCATTTGTGAATGAAGAATGAATGAATGGTTCGTGGAGGTATGCATGCATGAATGAATGATGGAGTTTATAAATGAATGAATGAATTTGTGGATGAATGCATGAATGAGTTTGTGAATGGTTTGTGGATGTATGCATACAAGCATGAATGAATGAATTTATGGATGCATACATGCATGTGTTTGTGAATGGATGGAGGCATGCATTTGTGGAGGAACACATGCATGACTGAATGATTGAGTGAATCCGGCCCGATGTCACTTCACCTCTTGGTAACTGCATGTTGCACCTGGCAGAGGGCTCAGAGTCAATGTGGGCCACGCTGGTGGGTCTTGGTGGGCTGTACAGGTGGAGGAGTCTTCAGCCACGCCCCATGGGCCCGTGAGAGCCAATGGAAGAACTTCCAGGGCAGCAGAATGAAGCTGGATGGAAATCAGAAGACTCAGAGTCCAGCCCATGGTTCCTGACTGCCTGTGTGACCACAGCCCAATCCCTGTCCCTCTCTGAGCCTGTTTTTTTCTGATGGTGCTCTTCAACCTCCATGCTGGTGCAGGCCTAGCTGATTGGCTGAGGCCTGGCAAACATTGTCCACTCTTGCTGCCTGAAATGGATTCTATATCCAGGTCCCCTGGCAGTGCCCGGCTCTCCATTTTCCCCCTGATTGCTCTGGGCATGGCTTAAAGCCCTAGGGTTTGACCAGTACCCAGCACCTGTCCCCCAGCCTGGCATGGAGAGATCTGTCAGTCAGTACCCAGCAGGGACCCTGGAAGGCAGTGGTCATGACAGGTGGAGGCCGGCCCGGTGGGCGGGACTGGCGGGGCGGGGCACTCCAGGAGATGGCCCAGTGCTTCTGATCCCTGGCCAAAGGCTGGTGAAGGGCTGCCAGTGTTGGCAGTTGCTCTTTTGGCTGCCTGCTGCCCCAAGCTAATAAGCGAGGCGGGAGAGCCAGTGGGGTGGGGGTGAGGAGGGCACCGGCCCTGCCCTGAGGGTTCATGGGTAGAGTGAGGCCCAGGCCAGGCACCCATCAGAGTCAGGCTCAAGAGCCCTTCAGGTTCTGATTCTATGCCTGACTCTGGCCACAGACCGTGCGCCGAGCCTGCTGGCTGGTTGGAGAAGGTATTGAGTGGACAGTTGTTGAAGGTCCTGGCAAAGAGGGAGGCTGGGAAGGTGGCCTAGTGGTAGAGTGCTAGGCAATAGCATGCATGAAGCCCTGGGTTTGCTTCCTCAGTACCACTACACAGAAAAAGTCAGAAGTGGCACTGTGGCTCCAGTGGTAGAGTGCTAGCCTTGAGCAAAAGCAGCTCAGGAACAGTGGCCAGGCCCTGAGTTCAAGCCCCAGGACTGGCAGAAAGAAAGGAAGAAAGAAAAGAAAGAAGAAAGAGAGAGAAAGAGAAAGAAACAAAGAAAAAAAGAAAGAAAGAGAGAAAAAAGAAAAGCACCTGATGCTGGGTACCACTGGCTCAGGTCTGTCATCCTAGCTACTCAGGAGGCAGAGATCTGAGGATTGAGGTTCAAGGCCAGCCTGGGCAGGAAAGTCCATGAGACTCTTATCACTTCACTAGAAAACCAGAAGTGGAGCCATGGTTGATGTGGTAGAGCATTAGCCTTGAGCTCAAGGTCCTGAGATACAGCCTCAGGATTGGCCCGCATGATCACACACACACACACACACACACACACACACACACACACCATCTTTTCCAGACAGCAGCCATGGTGTGGCTGGAAGACCGCCTGGAGTGTGGTAAACCATCAGCAATTAGCCATGGTTCATTAGACTCCAATTAATAAATAAAAGCCAGGATGAGGGCCGGTGTCTTTGTGAGGACTAACTGCCGGCTCAAGCCGTGGTCCGGGTGGTAGGAGGAGAGTTTGGAACCCAGAAATGGCTGTCTGTCTGCTTTTTAGGCTGGAGGAGGCAGCGTGGGCCACAGCCCAAGGGCTGCAGCTGGTAAAGTAGGAGAGGGACAAGAAGAGTTCGCCTCCACTTTGAAGGGCGCTGGGCACAAGTTCTTGCCCACAGTCCCAATGTGGGTGAAGGGCTTGGCCAAGGCCAGGGATGTGGAACCCCCTTCCCACCTGCCCCCCCAAATCTGGCTTCAGATAGAACTGGAAAACAAAACAGCACAGAGGGGAACTCATTCAAGGCACCCCAACAAGCTGACCTTGTATCTACCAGCCCATCCCTTCCCCAACCACCTCTCCCAGTTCCCCAGGAAGAACAGTGGCCTTCTTTTTCTCTCTGAGCCCAACCTCTTCTAGAACCTTCCAGAACCAGCAAGGCTCAGAAGCAAAAGAACAATGACGTCCATGTCCACACTATTCAAATAACTCTCTCTACAAAGACCAGCCCCCCCATTCCTGCTGCCTGTTGCTGGGGGGACCGGGGACAGGACATGAGACTGGACATAGCACCTTCCAGAAAAGAGGAGGGTCTATGGCCTGAGGGTCTGGCTCTCCCTCAGGCTTGGACGCTGGCATAGCAGATAGAAACCAAGGAAAACTGTCTGGTTTTTCAGGACAGACCCACGGAGACTGATTCAGACCCCCGGCCATGTGATCTTGTTCTCTGCCCAGCTTCCAGGGCCAGCAGATGGCCCTGAGGGACCAGGACAAAAGGTCACAAAAGGTCAACCCATCCACCTGAAGGTCACCTTTATCTGCCCCCCTCAGACCCACCTGTCTGCATCCTCCCAGGGACTTCTGGGAAACTCCCTCGGGTTCTCCTCACCCTTAAGGGGAGCCTGCTGGGACTATAGCAGTCAGAACAGACCAGAACTTGGGGTTCTTCTCTTGTCTCTGCCCGTGGCTGTCCTGGGATTGGCGTCCTGGCCGGGCCCCTTGGCTGCTGGAGGGAGGGGAGGCCGGAGAACTAGCAGGGGGCATAGGGGATGTGGGCCCGGCTGTGAAGGGAAGACCTTGAGGCTGTCTGTGCGTGTGCATGTGCACACCTGTGTGTGTGTGTGTGTGTGAGCATGCATGGGTGCTTTTCTGTGGCTCACCTCCACCTGTGAACACAACCCCAGCACTGTCTTCCCTGTGGCTGGGGGGGGGGGCGGAGGGGACAGGAAGTGAAGTGTCTTCCCTGTGGCTGGGGGGGGGGCGGGACAGGAAGTGAGACCTGGCGGCCGCCCCCAGCTCTGGCTGGTGTTCTGTGCGGAATCTGAACCTCCCTCTCCAGTTTCTAATCCACATCACATCAAGGCCCAGAGGGGCAAGCGGTGCCAGGAAAAGCCATTACCCGCCCCCACCCCCCTCTGGCGCCCTCCACCTGCTAAAAGCCTCTACCTCCCCCAGGGCCTCCCCCCCATTTCACACACCTGGCCCCGGACCTCTGGGTGGGGGTGGAGGACTTGCAGAGGTCAGAGATTAACTCTTTCTGGGCCCGGAGCTAGTCAATCTTTGGCCTTGTCCTGTCAGCCTGCCCTCTATATTGTTATTATTATTATTGTCAGTCATGGTGCTTGAACTCAGGGCCTGGGCACTGTCCCTGAGTTCTTTTGCTCAAGGCTAGCGCTCTACCACTGTGAGCCCCGCAGCTCCGCTTCTGGTTTTCTGATGGTTCATGGGAGATAAGAGTCTACAGACTTTTCGGCCTTTCCTGCCCTGGCTGTGGTCTCCACCCCTGATCCTCAGCTCTCAGCCTCCTGAGTAGCTAGGATGACAAGTGTGACCCACTAGCCACTGACCCCCGGCTTCTTTGTATATATTTTTTTGTTTCTGACTAGTGGTCACCAGACAGGAGTGGCGGGGGGGGGGGATCAGGGCTGGTACATCTTTCCTCCCCAGAGGAGTCTGGGGTGGGATTTATGGGGTCCCCCCCACCGCTGCCAGCAGGCAGCACATTTCCCTGCCACTCACCCCACCCCTCTCTCCCTTCCCAGAAAAACCACCCCAGAGGAAGCAGACAGCCAGAGCCCCCAAGCCATGAGCTCTGTGGCCTCGGAACCCACCAGAAACCCCATGTGGGAGGAGACGGTGGAGGTGGAAATCCCAGAAGAGGATGCCGGGCAGAAGGGTGAGGCTGGGCAGGGGGTGGGGAGGAGGGGGGGCTGAGATGACTGGGGGAGGGGGAGCAGCCGTGGGCACACACCCTGACAGCCAGGCAAGGCAGATGGGGTGAGGGCTGGGGCGACTCCCCCCCCTTTCAGCACAGCTGGAGGCCACCTGATCGCCTCCCCAGACTCCGCTAAAAGCACTTAACAAAAAAAAACCCATAATACCTTCACGCCTCATGTCCCCAGCCTGCTGGAAAAATGAATCGTTCCACATAAATGAACCTTCCACATAATGCTAGCTTATGTTTTTTTACGACCGTGCTTGCTATTTTCACGGGGGTTATTACCGCTGTCTCTCACTGAAATAGCGAAGTTTGATTTGATTTGATGGCTGAGACAATCTCCTTCCGGGAGGAGCCAGGCCTTGCCCACTGCTTGGGAGAGAAGACTGAAGCTCAGTCAAGTTGTGGTACTGAGGCTCAGTCTAAAATCCGGTACTGAGGCTCAGTCCAAGCTCTGGTACTGAGGCTCAGTCCAAGCTCTGGTACTGAGGCTCAGTCCAAGCTCTGGTACTGAGGCTCAGTCCAAGCTCTGATCACCTATCAGATAACCCAGGACTCCGCCATTCGTCTTCTCCCTGGAAATCTAGGGTTCTAGCTGCTTCCATTTGAGTATTGGGGATTTGATTTGATTTGTAATAGTAGAATTTGAACTCAGTGCCTCTCAAACTTGGCTTGGTAGGAGCTCTATCCCTGAGCCATGCCTCCAGCACTGAGTTTTTGTTGCTGTTGTTTGTTTGTTGGGGGAGGTGCCCATATTGAACCCGAGGCCTGGGTTCTGTCCTTTAGCTTTTTCTTTTTTTTCTCGAAGCTAGTGCTCTACCATTTGAGCCACTCCCTCACTTCGGGCTTTTTGTGTTTCATTGGAGATAAGAGTCTCGCAGACTTTCCTGCCCAGGCTGGATTTGAACTGAGATCCTCAGATTTCAGCCTCCTGAGTAGCTAGGATGACAGGCCTGAGCCACTGGTGCCCAGCTCTTATTTCTCTTCTGGAACTTCCATGAGGAGCATTCCTTGGGCTCTTGACAGGAGCAAGGAGCCAGTTGCCAGAACCTTGTTGGGAGAGAGGACACGGGGTGGAGAGGGCAGAGGCCAGATCGAGGTTAAATAGATGAAATTATGAAAATGGCTTGAGAAGATGCCGAAGAAAAGGGAAAATGGACGCAGGATTCCACGCAGGCATGTGTGTGTATGTGTGTTTGTGCGCTTGTGCATGCCTACACACTGGCTCATGCGGGCTGGGCACACCTAGATCGAGAGAGAGGATGCTCCAGGGTCAGTGGCCCCGTGCAGGAGGCGGGCAGCAGGTCAGACGGGCAGTAGGCCAGGCAGGAAGTAGGTCTTGACCGTAGGAGGGACAGGCAGCTGAGGAGACAGCCTGAGCAAGCCCGGCTTGAAGGGCTGGTGTTGAACCCAGTTGGAACCGGTTGCTGTGGTGATGTGCAGTGTGGGAGGGGCACGGGGGCGGGGAGGCAAGGCTGGGACAGGAGGCGGGAAGGGGACGTGTTAATGAAAAGCAAAGAGGTGTTTCAGCCTTGGGTCAGGGCCAGAGCAGGGCAGGCGGCAGAAATGGCTTGTTGGCCACACACAAAGGGAGCCCTGGGAGGCCGGAAGGGCACAATGCCCAGACTGGGAGCTGATGAAGCGTGCTTGCGGTCTGCCGACAGCAGCAGGGAGGGACACCCCCCCCCACATACACACACAACTGCTGGGGCCCCTCATTACAGCTCCCTGCTGCCTGCCCCAGGCAGGGAACTGGAGGAGATACAGGGCCTCAGATCCTTGTAGGATGTGAGCACTCTGGGTCTATGGGGAGAGGGCGGGAGCAGCTGCAGCCTCCATAGTGACCGGAGTCTAAGCTGAGAGGGCTGGGCTCCTCCAGTGGAGTGGTCTCATGGTCAGCAAGGGGAAACATAGGTCCAGCCGAGTCCCCTGGCACAGAATTTTCTAGCTGGAAGCCCAAGCTTCTTGCCCGATCAATCCTAGGGGTAAGGCAGGGCTTTTTATCTGCACCTAGCATGTGTTTGTTTAAAGCAGTAACACTTCTGCAGAGCAGGTAAGTGAGGCTCAGAGAGGCTAAATGACTCACGAAGGACACAGAGCAGAGTTCATGTCTTTGCTGGAACCCCAAATGCACCGACTTCAGATCTCTTCAGGTCGGGAACGTCTGTGAGACTCTTGTCTCCAATGAATCAGCAAAAAAAAAAGCCAGAAGTGGGGCTGTGGTGCAAGGGGTAGAGTACCAGTCTTGACTAAACAAAACCCAGGCCCTGAGTTCAAGATTCCCCACTACTGGCATGCACATGCAGGGGGGAATAATCCTGGAAGCAACGGTGCTGCATGTACTTAGTGACCACCGGCTCCTTGCCAGGCCTAGGGATGGGAACCACTCGTCTCTGATGGCAACAAATCCTTGTTCTGGGGTTAGACGGGTGGACCTGGGAGCTGGGGGGCGGGGCGGAGTTCTAAGTAGGTCAACGGGGCACAGCTGGGAAGCAGACAGGAGAGGCCACCTCCCCTCCCCCCTTGTTCTTGGAAGTCTGTGATTGGAGGAGAGGGAGGGAGGAGAGGAAGTGAAGGAGGGGCGGACCAGGGCTGAGGGAGATGGAGGCAAGGAGAAATGAATGACAGATAATGGGGCTGAATGGGAGGAAGAACATTTCAGCACCGTGGACAGCGTCCCCCCTTCCCTGATGACTTGAACACAGAAGGGTCATTTGGATGGGAGGGAGGGAGAAGGGCGGGGGGGGGTGAAGAAGGAAGCTGAAGGCTTATTAAGTTGTGTGTGTGTGTGTGTGTGTGTGTGTGTGTGTGTATGCACAGGTCTTGGGGCTTGATCTTGGGGCCTGAGCTGTTGTCCCTGACTTTTTTGTACTCAAAGCTAGTGCTCTACCATTTGAGCCACACCTCCACTTCTGGCTTTCTTTTGCTGGCTAATTGGAGATAATAATATCAGGGACGGGCTGGCAAGATGGCTCAGTGGTAGAGCGCTTGCCTTGCATGCCTGAGGCCCTGGGTTCGATTCCTCAGCACCACATAAGCAAAGTATATAAAAAAAAAAGAATATCAGGGACTTCTCTGCCCAGGACTGTCCTCAAACTGCAACCGTCAGACCTCAGCCTCTTGAGTCTCTGGGATCACAGGCATGAGCACTGGTGCCAGGCCTTGTACTCTTCCTTGGCTGCCTCTAGATCTGGTCATCAAGGTGATAGACACGAAGAAGAAGAAGGAGCTGGTGTCCTACGAGATACCCATCAAGTACTTATGCATCTTCCACCCCTACCACTTTGAGCTGGTGAAGGTGAGTCAGACCGCAGGCCCCAGGCCCCAACCTCGGTGAGGTGTGCAGATCTGATGGGAAGCGCGAATATCCTCCGATGGCCGAACTGAGGGGGCATCCAGCCACGCCCGTCTGCAGGCTGGGTCTTTCTGTGCTGTCTCTGCATGGCTTATGGGTGGAGGGGGGCCCAGGGGAGTTGGGGTGTGGCAGACAAGACATTTTGGGAACTTTGTGGAGATGCACCTGCAAGGCATTGTGGGAACACACCCTTCCCAGAATGCAGCTGACCGCTGGCCTGATGTACAAACGCTTTGGGGCCTCTCTGCCCCTGGCCTGAACAACCATGTCAGCTCCCTGTCCCCTGCTGGTGTTAATGGTTGGACATTAGGCCCGTCTGGCATTGTTCAGGTTTTTAATTAAGCACCTGCTAAGTGTTAGGCATCGGGCCACGTATGAGCACCATTGTCTGCTCTTCCCTCTCCCCTAGAGTGGTTGGGAGAAGGGACAATGCGGCCAGCCGGGCCCTGGTGGCTCACACCTGTCATCCAGCCACTCAGGAGGCTGAGAGGCTCGAAGCCAACCCTGGGCAGGAAAGTCCATGACACACTTACTCTTATCTCCAATGAACCAGCAGAAAAGCCCCAAAGTAGAGCTGTGGCTCAAGTGGTAGCGCTCCAGACTTGAGCACAAAAGCCCAGGGACAGTGTCCAGGACTGGCACACACACACACACACACACACACACACACACACACACACCAAGGAGATGAGGTTGTCTGGATTCCTGCCTGGGGCCCTGCCCCATGGCACTGGAGATGGGCAGCATCAGCCAACGCCCTGTTTCCTTCCGCCCAGCCAGGGTCCTTCTAAGGGCGATGAAACATTCAAATGGAAAAGCAAAGATTTATTCTATTGATCTCGGAAGGGCTCAAGGGGACCATGAGCCTTAATTATCAGCTCTGAGCCCCGGTGGAGCAATGCCCAATGATCAGTGGATTTATGGCCAAGCTCGGCCCTGAGACTCTTGTCTTTCTTGTCTATCTTCTTCGCCGGCCTGACCTGCAGCCCACTCAGCCCGGGAAACCCAATGAAGATGCTGACAAGACACGACTCTACGCCACCATCATTCGGAAAAGCAGCTTTCTTCCTCGCTACATTGGCTGTGACCATACCGCCCTGGAGGTAGCTGCCCCCCCCTGGGGACCTCTGGGGTGGGCAGGTGGACTGGGAAGGGGCCTAACTTTGAACAAACCCCAGATTCCCCCCACACACACCTCTGGCTGACCTGTGAGCATGAGCCAGTGGGGTCAGGGGGGAAAAGGATCAAGAGTGGAAAAATCAGGTGGGTGCTGTGGCTCACGCCTGTAATCCCAGCTACTCAAGAAGGCTGAGATCTGAGGATGGAGGTTCAAATCCAGCCCAGGCAGGAAAATTTGTAAGACTCTCATCTCCAGTTAACCAGCAATAAATGAATGAATGAATAAATAAATAAATGCTGCAAGATGGAGCTGTGTGTGGTTCAAATGGTAAAGTTTCAACCTTGGAACAACAACAAAAAAAGCTAAGGGATAGTGCACAAGCCCTGAGTTCCAGCCCCAGTACCAGAACAAAAACAGAGGTTGGTTTCTAGCCAAACTAAAAAGAAACAAGAAATAAGTAAGTGGCTCAAAGTGGTAGAGCACTAACCTTGAGCAAACACAGAACTCAGGGACAGCACCCAGGCCCCGAGTTCAAGCCCTGTTACCTACCAAAAAGAAAAGGAAGGAAAGTAGAAGACGCAGAAGTGCTGAGAAGAGACAGTGGTGGGCTGAGATAGTGACAAAGACAGAAGGTGGCTCGGAGCAAAGCACCAGCCATGATTCCATGACGGGTTGGGGGAGATGGAGAATCCAGATCGAGGGATCAGCATGTGCAAAGGCCCTGAGGCATGAGAGACTGAGGGGAGAAAAGAGACTGGAGCCAAACGAGGGAGATGGTGAATGTGGATCTCAGCCGAGTCCGTGTGTAGCGGTAGAATTGGAGTCCCTTTCTTTTGCCTCTGTTCTTTGGGGAGGTGTGTGTGTGGAGTGTCTTGCTGCGCCTTGCTTTCTGAGCGGCTATGGAGAATGGGAGCAAAGCCACCCAGAGCCCAGCGGAGGAGGGGCGGCCGTGGTGGGGGGCAGGGGGGGATCAGGGAAGACTCAGGAGGTGACCAATGAGATCGTTTCTTTTCCAGGTCTTTCTCCGGGGCATCAACGAGCCCCTGGCCAACAACACCAGCCCGATCATGGTGGTCGCACGCGTGGTCCCTGACTACAATGAGTTTAAGTGAGTGGGGTGTGGTTTACAGGTGATCTGGAACCTTCCCTCCCGGGGCCTCCTCAACCCTCCCCCTCCCCCGCTCTATGTGGGACCCCAGTGGGTGTGGGCCCCCAAAAGACGCAGCAGGGACTCCAACCCCCACATCCTCCCACACCCTGCACCCCCATGTCCTCCATCTGATGATTGTGTGTGCACACGTGCGTGTGCACATGGGCTTGCCCCACACACATGCCCCCATACATGGACACACACACACACAGGTGTGCACGTGCATGCACGGCACTGCACAGTGCTTGCACGTGCATCGAATGTGCGTGTGTGCATGCACACGTGCGTGTGCACATGGGCTTGCCCCACACACATGCCCCCATACATGGACATACACACACACAGGTGTGCAGGTGCATGCACGGCACTGCACAGTGCTTGCACGTGCGTCGAATGTGCGTGTGTGCATGCACACGTGTGTGTGCACCAACATGTGTGCATGTGTGTACATGCATGCTCCCGGGCGGTCTCCAGGACCCCAGGCGTGGGGGCTGTGTCGCTGCGGCAGCCAGGACCATGGACAGCGGCCGCGCCCCAGCCCAGGCCTGGCCCAACCAGCCCCGAGCCTCTCCCCTCTGCTCCAGGTGGGTCATGGGGGCCCCTGTGCCGACCCCTGTCTCTTCACCCCTCCAGGAACAGCCAGGCCAACCAGGATCACAGCTCCATAGGTCTCCCCATCACCTCCCTCTCCTTCCCCATCTCCTCCGTGATGAACCTTGACGTCCCTCGGGCCAGCCCGAATGGGTGCCCCCAGGTACGACTGCCCCCCATCTCCCCCTTTCCCTCTCCCATCGACCCCTCAGCAGCTCCCTCCACCACAGAGGCCCAGCCGGGCCCAGCTGACCTGCTTGTGGGGAGCTCCCAGTAAAGATGGGGTCCCCACGCATGGAAATACCAAGCACCCACCCAGATCATACATCACTGAGTCACAGCCGAGTGCTGCTGCTCACGCCCAACATCCCAGCTACTCAGGAGGCTGAGATCTGAGGATCCAGGTTCAAAGCCAGCCTGGGCAGGAAAGTCCATGAGATTCTTATCTCCAATGAACCAACCTTCCCCCTCCCCCCCCCAAATCTGGAAGTGGCGCTGTGTTTTAAGTGGTAGAACACCAGCAGCCATGAGTGGGAAAACAAAACAAAACAAAACTCAGGGACAGCATCCACGCCCTCACATCTCAGCCTCCCAAGTAGCTAGGATTACAGGTGTGAGCCACTGGTACCATTTTAAGTCAGAGGGGTTGTGGCTGGGTGAGTTGAAGAAGAGCCAGTTGGGTGGGTGGGCTGGGGGGCTTGGTGGGGGAAAGAGTTGGGGAGGGGTATACAGATCCTGACCAGGGTCCAGAGGTATGGTGAGGTTGGTCCCCACCCCCACTCCGGGGAGGGCCTCCACTTCGGTGTGAGCTTGTCCTGCACAAGGCTGATCTTGGAAGTCCCTCTTGTTGCCTGCCCACCAAGGTGCACATCTGACAAGGAAAAACTAGGACAAGACACCCCTGTGGAGCCCCAGCCTCTCATTTCAGGGCAAAGACACTTGAAGAAAGCTCAGACACAGACAGGAGTGAGGGCGTCCTGGGACAGAAGCTTCCAACCCAAACCAATCCTAGCCTTGATTTCCCCAGAGCCATCTCACACACCGCTCTGCATTTGCCCAGGAAATTATAAACCAATCAGTGGCTGTCCCTAGGGAGGGGGGGGGAATGGCCTGTGTTAATGAGGGAGCCCTTCCCCCGCCCTCCTCTTCCTCCCCTTCGAGGCTGCTCCCTGCCTGTCAGCCCCTCCCTACCCCAGCCCCCCACCCCTCCCCCACGCGGGACACTCCAGGCCGGAGGTGTGGCAGCATCACTGGACACTGTGGCATCTGGGCAGGGGTGGGGAGGAGGGGAGCTGGCTGGCGCCCAGAACCAGCAGGAAAAGTAGAGGCTGAAGTGGAGGGGTGGGCTGTGAGGGGTGGAATCCTTCTCCCCTCCTTCCCCCCCCCCCCCCCGAGCACTGGGCTCAGAGCTCACACACACACACACACACACACACACACACACACACGCCCCTGCCCTGTCCCCCTGTGTGTCAGTCTCATCTCTACAGAGGTAGAGGTGGGCCTGGGGTTTTGCTTCTCTTTTCGGTGCTGCTGGTAACTAGGACTTGAACTTGGGGCCTCCATGCTTTCAATTGTGTTTTTGGTGTTGTTTTCTTTTGTTTTGGTCGGTCGTAGGGCTTGAACTCAGGGCCTGGATTCAGTCCCTGAGTTCAAGGCGAGCGCGCTACCACGTCGAACCATATAGCACCACTTCTGGTGTTTCTGGTGGTTCAGGGGAGATAGGAGTCTAGCTGGGATTATAGGTGTGAGCACCAGTGCCCAGCCCTCCCATTCTCCTTCCTTCGGCCTCATGAATGACAGGGAGGACTTTCGGGGTGTGGAGCATAAGACACGTCTCCCTCCTGAGCCATGAGAAGCGGGGGCGGGGGGTCCTCAATGAAGGTCACATGACAAGATTGAGACCGGCCCAAGGCGGGGCCTGACTCCTCCCAGCATGGTAAGGGTGGGTGTGGAGCCCAGAGGAGAGGGGGGGAGGAGGAGGGCTGTCCCCAGGGAAGGCTCCTTCAAGGGTAATGGCTTTTCTGAAGATCACAGTGAAAGGTTAATCGGATTCCTTAATCCCGCAGCCCGCCACAGTCCCTAACCTTAGCATCTGCACCCAGCCCCACCCCTGGCCTCCACTTCAGCTTCTAGAACCTTCCACCAGGCGTCTGGAGGCAGGCTGCAGGCGGTTTAACCTTCGGTCCTCCAAGCGTGTGCTCACACGCACCAGGGCAGGGAACCCAGGCCCATTCCTCCATTCTCGGGGTGAGGGGCTCTCTCCTGGGGGAGGGGACACCTGCTCTGAGAAGCCCCTCAGGGACCCCCCTGTCCTCCCCAGGCCCAGCCCCTCACCCGCAGAGCACACGCGGGGAACCCGCATTACACCAGCTCCATCTTCCAGGATGGAGGCTAGACCTGCTGAAGGACCGGCACATGCCTTCCCCCAGCACCCCGGTGCCTGGACAGCTGGCCTCTGGCACCCAGGGGAAGGAGGTGGCTCTGAGAAGGGGTGTGGCTTGGGGGGCTCCCCCCTCCAGCTCCACAGAGCCTAGGCAGGGGCCATCCCTGAATTTCTAGCAGTGTCACACCCCCCCTCCCCGCCCCACGCCCCCACGCCCGGCACTTAGCATGGCCAAGCTCCCTGGGGACAGAGGCTGACACCGGGCTGAGCCTAGGCAGGCCCCGGAAGACCAGGATGGACACATTAGTGGGACAGGCTTCAGTGGCCCCCCACCCTATTCCCCGGCCCCCTACCCCCCTCTGGATTGATGATAATCCTTGATCTCCCAACCATGGCTCCGACAGCAGCAGTGAGCGTGCTCAGAGAGGACGGATACCCCAGGGCCCGGGGAGGTGGGAGCCGCTATTCTGATGCCCTGATGCCCAGCCCAGCAAAGGGGGCATCGGTACTGGTCGCTGCAGGCCCTGCCCATGTGTTAACCTCTGTACCCCCTCCCGTCTCCCCTCCATCCTGCTGAGTCCTTTCCTGCTCCGTTCATGGAAGTCCACCAATACTAGGACGTTCAACTCAGGACCTTAGCTTGTTCCATTTAAGGCTGGCGCTCTACCACTTTGAGCCATGCCTCCATTCCCAGCTTTTTGCTGGTTCATTGGAGATAAGAGTCTCACGGACTTTTCCCGTCCGGGCTGGCTTTGAGCCGCAGTCCTCAGATTTCAGCCTGCTGTGGAGCTAGGAAGACAGGGCTCAGCCACCAGCGCCCGGCTATAGAGATTGTTTCTGGCTTGATTCAGGCCTCCATAGGCGGGCCTCCATAGCTGGGCCTCCACCCTCTCCTTGCAGCTGTCCAGGCCTGGGAGTTCTCTGGAGCAGCCCGAATGGAATCAGTCCTTCCTCTTCCAAGGCCGTGATGGAGCTACCAGCTTCTCGGAGGACAGGGCATTGGTCCTGGAGTTCTACAGCGCCATCTCCAGTACGTGTCTGGGGCTGCGGGCCCCCGCCCTGCCTCCTGCCTGCAGGGCTGGGTTCATTGGCTCCCAGGTGCCAGGCAGAAGGCAGAGGAGTTGAGAAGAACCGGCTGGCTTCCTTGTCCATGGAGCTGCAAGATCCATGGGCTCATGCCCAACACAGGGGTCTTCATGCACCCAGCTCCCAGGATGCACTGCAGTGGGGTCAGGGTCTCCCAGGGTACAGTGCGGTGGGGGCGGGACCTCACAGCTCCCAGAGTGAACTGCAGTGATGGCGGGGGACAGTTCAGCCCATCCACACAGACAGGGCCGTCCAGGAACACCCACAGATACAGAATCTGCTTGTTGTGTCCAGTCCTGGAGCTTGGTCTCAAGGCCTGGGCGCTGTCCCTGAGCTTTTCAAAAGCTCAAGGCTGGCGCTCGACCACTTGAGCCACAGCGCCCCTTCTGCCTTTTCCAGTGGCTCATTGGAGAGAGAGTCTCTGGCAGATTTTCTTGCCCAGGCTGACTTTGAACCTCAATCCTCAGATCTCAGCCTGCTGAGTCGCTGGGATGAAAGGCGTGCGCTACCACACTGGGCCAGAATCAGAGTTGGCTTTGAGTTCCCAAAGCCCTGAAGACAGGGAGGGGGTGTGGGGGGGAGCAGGGCTTGATGTAAGTCGGCGGGGACCAGAACCAGATGCAAAGATGTAGGTCCGGGGTGGATGTAGGGAGTCCGAGGTTGGTGTTGAGAAGCAGAGTGGGTGGAGTATCAAGTGGGGACCCCCCCCAGCTGGCTGTTCTCCCTCAGCGAAAAGCGGCGAGCCCTGGGCCCTGGGCCCCCCTCTGGGCGTCTCGGTGCTGCCGCTGAACAACCGTCTGTACCGCAAGATGCTGACGGGCAGAGGCCTGAGTGGGCTGCATGTGGAACAGCTTCCCATCAGTGTGAGTCCCCCCCACCTCCCTCCCAACAGGTCACCCCCCCAGCCCTGCCCCCCCACTCCACCTCAACATACCCCAGAGAACACAGCATGGTTAACTGCTTCATCCTTGAAGGCCAGGACTACAGGTGGATCCAACCACGCCCGGCCCTGACGCTGCACTTCTGTCTTCAAAGTCAGGACTCAGGTCACAGAGATGGAGTGATTTGTCCCCTGGGGGGGCTGCCTGTGTGCTTGTCCCCTGGGGGCCATCGGAGATGGTCCTGACCCTGGCTTGGTCCTGACCCTTGTATATGTCAGGGAACGCCACAATACCAAACACCAGTCTGGCCCCCTGGGGTTAAAGACCCAGAGACCCCTGCTCCGATGGCCCCTGGAGATAATGACGACAAAGCCCAGGGAAAAAGAATTCCCAGGGGGTCCCGTCGCAGCATCTCTCTGAGCTCAGTCATTTTTAAGATGGGCCGGGTGTGGCAACAAACACCCGTAGTCCCGGCTGTCAAGAGGCTGAAGGAGAAGAGAAGAGAAGGGAAACATGGCTAGGATGTGTCATTAGAGTCATGGTCTGGGGATGAGCAGGCCCTGAGTTCAAACCCCAGGACTCACACAGAGATGGAGGGGTGGGGGAAGCGGGAGAGTTCCCGTGCCATCAGCCGATGAGCCTGGAGGTCAGGTGTAGCGTGGGGTCGAGAAGTGGGGAGTAGAGGAGGAAGTTGAGCTCCTGCCTCCTCCCTCCCTCCCTCTCCACCTTGGGGAGAGGGGAGGGGCCAGAGCAGGGGTGGAGCCTTGACAGCCCCTCCTCCCCCCAGGACACCAGCTTGAAAACCATCACAGGCGAAGCCCCCACCGTGGATTTATCCCTGCAGCTGATCTCCTCCGAGGTAAGGCTTCAGGCTGGGCTTGGTCAAGGCCAACCGCAGCCCTTCACCTTCAGAGTCGGGGCAAGAGGACTCCAGAAAGGGGTTGGGATGGGGGTGGGCGGGGGGTGGGGGGTGTCTGCTGCGTTGGGTGGAAATGTCTGAAGGTGATTGAAGGCTCCAGGCAGCAGAGAGGACACTGAGATTAGGGAGAGAGAGAGAGAGAGAGACAGCTGAGGGCAGAGAATCTTCTAGACTAGGGCCTTCCATCCTGGGCCACTGTCCTGGGTTCTGTTCAGGTGAGGTGGGGCTACCCCATCTCAACAAACAAGCCAGGTGTGATGGTCTAAGCCTGTAATCTCAGCTACTCAGGAAGACAAACATGGCAAAACAAAAACATAAAGCCCAAGACACTGAAAATATAACCCCCAAAAAAGGGCTGGAGGAGGTATAACCACGTGACACTTCCAGCTTTTTGGTGGTTCATTGGAGATAAGAGTCATAGGTTTTCCTGCCCCGGCTGGCTTTGAACCATGATCCTCAGATCTCCTGAGTAGCTCCGAGTGCCGGGCCTTGGTTGGTTCTTTACCACAGGCCAAAAACAGGAGCCACACAGGAACTCCCTGCCTGGGAAAAAGTCACCAGAGAAGCAGAGAGGCTCCCAAGAAAGTGGGTCCTTCGAGAAGAATCTCCCAGATCAGGGCTCAGCCTCCCTGGCCTCTCCGGGCCCTTCCTTACCTCCCTGGGCCTCCATAAGGCTCGAATGATGGTCCGACTGAGAGCCGGGCCGGCAACAGGCGGGCAGGCAGAGCCCTTCCCCACACCCAGGGCTTGGCGCTGGGCCTCGTGATGAATTATTCACGGATCTGTGCTAAGTGCAGGATTAATTCTTTCCCTTTGCAGCTGGCGGCTGCAATAAATTATCTGTGGGAGTCATGCGGGAGTGCTCCCCTGAATTCATTTCCCCCAGTGAGGGGTTTGATCTGGGGCTGGTGATTGGAGCCTCCTCCTTCTCCTCAGCCTCCTCCCCTAGTGGCAGGGAAGGGCGGGGGTGGGGGGAGGAAAACACCTTTTAGAACATGGATTTCCAAGAAAGAGAACAAGAGATGAAGATTGGGGGGCAGGGCATGGGAGGGGGGGCGCCAGGAAAATGGCACTAGGGGAAATTCAAAACCAACAGCCAAGAATTCATTGTACATGCAGATTCCGCACGAGGACTAGCTGATCATCCACGCACGCGCACACACACACACATACATCTGTACATGTCATCCAAGCATGCATGCTCACACGTGTGTAAAGTGACAGGCGGCTTCACACTTCGCTTGGCACATGCAGATCTCTTTGTGACTCAGCTGTTGCTTGGGAATTCTGCCTGAGAATTGGCTTATGTTGATATTCTGATTTTTTGGGTTTGTTTGTCTTGTTTTATGCGGCTCCTGCTAGAGTTTGAACTCAGAGCCTGGGCATTGTCCCTCAGCTTCTATGTCTCTCAAAGCTGGTGCTCTACCACTTGAGTCACAGCTCTACTTCTGGCTTTTTTTATTTTGGTCAGTCATGGGGCTTGAATTCTGGGCCTGGGCACTGTTGCTGAGCTCTTTAGTTCAAAGCTAGCGCTCTACCACTTGAGCCACAGCGCCACTTCCAGTTTTCTGGTGGTTCATGGGAGATAAGAGTCTCATGGACTTTCCTGCCCAGGCTGGCTTTGAACCACAGTCCTCAGATCTCAGCCTCCTGAATAATTAGGATTATAGGTATGATCCATTGGCTCCCAGCTAGCTTTCTTTTTCTTTTCTGCCTTTGCTGGTTTATTTGGAGATAAAGAGTCTCACTGACTTTCTTGAGCGGGGTTGGTTTTGAACCAGGATCCTCAGATCTCAGCCTTGTGAATAGCTAGAATTACACAGGTACAGAAAGATCTCTCTCCCTAGCAGCCAGTGGAGGTTTGGCCTTCACAGATCTTTACACACTGAGAATCCAGGAGCCTGAGGCCACGTCTAGCCCACCCGAGCGCAAGCCTGGCCGGCCTCCGGTCTCCTTTGTGTCTCTGATCTCAGCCTCTTCTCTTTGAAGGGAGGAGTCTGGTCCTCTGGGAGGCTCTGCTGCTCCTGGCTCAGCAGCCTGTCTCTTAATGATCTGGCGGTCTGGGTGCCCTCCAGCTTCTGCTGTGTATCGTATATATTTATTTTTAATTTTTATTTTATTATCTTTAGTTGTACAAAGGGGTTTCAATTCAACACGTCAGTTTACCAGGGCAGCGCATCCTGATCAATGCCACCCCTCCCAGCAGACTCCTGGAGTCTCCCCAGCCCCGCCCCTCCCTGCAATTTTCCTGGCTCCACTTACACAGATGTGCACTGAAAATTACAACTGCGCTCACCAACCCTTCCTCTCTCCATGCGTCTAACTCACCCCCCCAACACACACACACACACACACACACACACCCCTCAGTTTCCCGCTTCCTGGGGTTCATTTTGTTCGACTCTAAGTTAGTCATTCAAAGGACTTACACCTTTGAACTCCTCCGCCCTGGAACACATACTGGAGTCAATATGTTGGAGTCTGTGTGCATGTCACTTTCTGCATGCTTACATATGCATTTATAAATTAGATCTAATTTCCACCTAGGAAAGGACACAGGTGTTTTTGTTCTCAAAGCCTGACTCACTTCACCTAATAGAATTTCTTCCCAGTCCATCCATTTCCCTGAAAGTGACATAAGATTATTCTTCCTGATGGAGGAGTAAAATTCCATTGTGTATCTACTCCACGTTTCCTTCCTTCCTTCCTTCCTTTCTATTTGAAGCAGGTCTAAACTCAGGGTCTGGGTGCTGTCTCTGAGCTTTTCTTTACTCAAGGTTGATGCTCTACTACTTGAGCCATAGCTCCACATCTGGCTTTCTGGTGGTCCACTGGAGATAAGAGTCTCACAGGCTTTCCTGCCCAGGCTGGCTTTGAACCATGATCCTCAGATCTCAGCCTCCTGAATAGCTAGGATGACAGGCATGAACCACTGGCCCCCAGCTTTTCCCACATTTTCTTGATCCACTAGTCCATCGAGAGGCCTCTGGCTGATGCCATGACTTGGATACGATGAACAGTGCATCCATGAGCTCTGCTGACTTGTTAGCTATTGGATAAACACCCAAGAGCGGCTTCATCTCCAGCTTCTCCAAAGTCTGCTCCACCCGGATCTGGTTGACACCCCCAGTCCCCCAGGAAAACCAGAAACCGAGCACCGTCCTGGGGTTTGCTCCAGGGAGGTGAAATTGAGGGGCTGAGATTAAGGGTGGAGTAGTGACCACTTTCAGTCCATGCCACCCTCCTGGAGGGAGGGGCCGAGCAGCCCCTGAGGCCCCTCTGAGGAGACCCCAGACTTGGGTTTGCATCCTGGACCTTCATCCACAAAAGGGGTTCACATCCCCACCAGCCAGGAAGGTGGCAGGGACCGGCTGTCTGTCAGTCAGGAGACTCTTCATATGGTTCACCTTAGCTGCTGACAAAGCATGCTGTGCCCCCCAGGGCCCTGCACAGGCTCGGGGGCTCCACAGGAGCCCCCTAATCCATCACTCAGAGCTCTCCGCTCCCGACAGCTGCTCTGCCGCTTCATATCCGCCCCAGACAGGCCCCCAGACCTCATCATGCGCCACGGAGAAACCAAGTCACCCGCAGCCCATTTGATTTCTCAGCGATTTTTCAGACAATGGAGAAATAAGGAGACAGGCGATTAATCTCTCGGGAGGCCAGATCTGTTGAAAAGGCCCACTGTGTCTTGACCAGAGCTGGCCGGGTCGGGGAGGAAATACAAAAATAAAGATGTCAGTGGCTCACGCCTGTCATCCTAGCTACTCAGAGGGCTGAGATCTGAGGATCAGGGTTCAAAGCCAGCCTGAGCAGGACATTCTGAGAGACTCTGAGCTCCAATGAACCATCAGAAAACTAGAAATGGAGCTGTATTGGCTCAAAGTGGTAGAGCGCTAGCCTTGAGTGAAAAGAGCTCAGGAGCAGCGCCCAGGTCCTGAGTTCCAGCCCCATGGCTGACAAAACAAAACGTCACCTTTCCCCCTCCCCTGACCCCACAGGTTGCTTTTGGATTAAGCTTTTGACACCCTATTCCAGGAAATGAAAGTATGGCCTCACCAAGTAATGGCCCTGGGACCTTGGTCTGGGAGACAGGGCTCCAATTCTCCCTAGCTTCTGCCATAAAAGCAGCCTGCAGAGCACCAGCCAGGCGGCTTGGGGCGGTGGGCGGGCAGGGGAGGGGGTTTGTCTGAGCCTCGCCTACCACAGAAAGCGATAAGAAGAGCCCACAAGGGCGGTGGTGGAGGCCCCAGGAAATGACAAAGCCGAGACTAATCGTGGAACCCGCTGTCCAGGGCCTCATTACCTCCCTTTATCAGGGAGAAAATTGTGTCAGGCCTCCTGAATTACTAGCGATTGGAAGCAGATCCAGGGACTCACTTTGTTAGATACCTAATGAGTGAGAGATACGGAACAGAGCCCAAAGCTGATGGGGTGAGGAAGGGGTGTGTGTGTGGGGGGGGACAAATGTCTTTGTTAAACAGAATTTGTCAGCTTCCGCTCCCAGCTCCCTGGGGAGGGCTCTGGGCCGGCTAATTGAATTAAGAACCTGGGCTGGAAGGCTGGGGAGGGATGCGAGGGGCGGGCAGGACTTCTTTTTCAGCACCAAGGACAGCGGCGGCAGTGGCCTGGCTAGCCTGTAATTGCCCGGGCAGGCTTGCTTTGGAAGGAGGTGTTGCATTTTACATGATGAGAGGCTACAGCGGGATAAGGGGTGGGGGGTGGGTAGGGAAGAAACAGATGATCTGAAAAGCCCCAAGCTTGGAACGCTATTGGCCCTGATCAGCCTCCAAAGAGGCCCCAGCTCTGGGCTGGGAGCTCAGAGGGTCAGCAGGGGAGAAAGAGGGAGAAGGTGGGAAGGGGAAGGGAGGGGGGGAAGGGAGGGCATCCACGTGGACAGCAGCCACCGCACAAAGGCCCTGCCCGGTCTAAACATGTTCATGGCTGTGCATAGCTTTGAGCGTTCAAAATCCATCGCCAGTGATGGTCTTAATGAAGCAGGGTGGGCTGTAGCCACGGACAAGGCCATTTGGCAGTCAGCTAGAAACGCAAACAGGCCCGTGGGGTGGGTCCGTACCCCACCCCACCCCAGCCACCTGCTCCCTCCCCTTCTTCTTCCCCCCTCCCTCCCTCCCTCCCTCCCTCTTTCCCTCCATTGCAGCCTCCTTCCTTGTTTCCCCTTCCCATCCCTTCCCAGCCTCCCCCCTCCCCCCCATCCCAATCCTTCTTCTTCCCCCCTCCCCCACCAACCCCTTCCCCTCCCCTCCCCCCCCGCACCGACGTTGTGAAGCTCGTTTTGGCATGACAACTTGTACGTCTCATTGTTGCATCAGATCCACCTGTATCCTTAAACAACTGGTTCTGCTTCTC